TGGTGGGTTTTTTGAGATAGATGGGTAAATTGTAAGTGGGAATGTTGGGCAACCATGTTTGGTTCGACAGCTTTTAAATTTGGCTATCTAAATCATTTCCCTACTTCACCAGTTTGCATAGCTATCTGAAACGAAAAACCCGGCGAAATAATCCCACTTCTTATGTGGGTTTGCGTCTTATCTAGCTATCTGAGAACAAAGTCTTGGCGTGCGATGACCAGCGTACCCCCGTAAGCGCGCGAAAGTGAGATTGTCGTACCAAATGGCAGAGTTGTTACTTGTCACTTTCCAAAGACCATAAACTTGCACAGACGAAGAGGGAAACTTGCAAGCGGAGTAGAGTGTGGTGTCTTCAAGCAACGGTGACGGCAGTGCCTACATCTTGCGTTCGTTGATTGCCTTCTACTCTTCGGTAACTTTATGTTTGTTAAGCAAGTTGAAGTTGAGTCTGATATTGAAAATAAAAAAGTGTTTACCTGTATGTGTCTCTCTGTTCAACTTTCTCAAAGACTTGGCTTCTGAGAAGGCAAACCTCAATGAAGGTGGGATCCTCTTTGTCCCTAACCTGTCTCTGCCTCCCTCCAATTATGACTTTGATATAAGTAAGGGTTACAGAGACCATACAAATATATTTAAAGAGGGTATATATCCTGTTTTCCTGTCGTATACTGGTAATTTTAAGGTCACATGAACCCTCCCATTACATACGGCCTACTGTCAACTTTCTTTCTTCAAAAGCTTGCAAGAATTGGTCACCCAATAACTTGGTACAGTACAACAATGTGACTTAGCTTCAGGTTGTGGAAGGTTGAGTGGTACTGATGGATTTTTGAAGGTGTTTTGTTTCCAAAAAAAGATAGTGATATTACAACAGTTATTAATAAAGATTGACATTGAAGAATATTAATTCTTTTGTTTAAATTGTAAACATATTAAATAGTAAATATTTTTTATTTACTTTAAACATTTATACTTACAGTTTAGCTAAATTACATTCTTCCCTTGTATCATAAACCTATTATTTTTTAAAACAAAAACGAAACAGATTCATTTTTATTATTTTTCTTATTTTTTTAATCCAAAAGTTTTAAGTGTAGGAGAAAGTGAACGATTTTAGATGTAGAATAAATGGAGTTTGCTGTAACTTGGTCAAAAGTCCCAATAAGGCAGTAACCGCAGTTTCAATTCCTTTTATGGCTTGAGGTTGGTCCATTTTGCTCCTTTTTTTTGCACTGACAGAGTGTATCAGATGATAGCCATTGATGAGGAAAGTATGGGAATGACCAAGTGTGGGACTTGGCACTATTTTTCAGTCCAAACATTTGAAGCTAGATAATTATCCCAACAACTTGTGGTATATATTCTGTCTTAGCGCTGACCAGTTAATCATCACTGCTCTTTAATGCTTCTTGTCTTAGATAGCATACTATGTACCTCTCTGTCTATGGATCCATTACTAAAATTAGAAAAGGCTAATTTTAAACCATAGCTTGATAAATGTAGGTTGTGGAAGTGAAACAGCTTACAGAGGCTGAAGTGAAACAGCTTATGGAAGTTGTAAGTTGTTCTTAACTCTTGTTCTCTTCTTTTTCTTTTGTTTATAATTTTAAAGTTTTCCTAACTTAAATTCCTTGGCCTAAATTGCAGGCTGATGTAGATGGAAATGGCTCAATTGACTACATAGAATTCATCACTGCTACAATGCATAGGCACAAGTTGGAAAAAGATGACCAGCTTTTCAAGGCCTTCCAATAACTTGATGCACAGTGTTAATATACTATGCTTGGTTCCTTTTATTTAAGATGATGTTTGTAGTAACATAGGTATCAGGATAAATTATTAAAAAATAAGTCAGTGTCTATCTGTTTTTTGATTTGGTAATGTATTGTTACTCAATGTGAAAGACAGTCACAACACCAGATGCTATACTCTATACCATTTATTTTAATTCACCTTTTCAAAGTATAACTAACTGGAAAATAAATGTGTCAATGTCATAACGTATAACTGGAAAGTATAACTAACTAGGAGCAGAACACCAAATTGAAGTTATAAATGTGTCAATGTCATAATGTAATTGAGAGAAAATTTGCAAGCCAAGCATCAAGAACTAATCCAAGCAAAGAACTCGTCTCCCTGTCCGCTCCTTTCCAAGAATCATGTTGATTACCAAATATGCTTTTTTAAGTTATGTTTTACAGACAAAGGAAAATGCTTAAACCAAAGTTGTTTCCTGTACCAACCATTCCCAACTTACCAGATAAGAGAGTATTTTAAATAAGAACGAAATAAGGTATAGAGAATGAGAAAGTGAAAGCAAAAGTATGAGACCTCATGCCATAAGACGGTAAAAAATCAACTTATTTCTAAATTGAGCAGTGGCAATAATCACTAATATGAAGTCATGAAGAAGAAGAAACATGTATATTCAAAGTATAACTAACTGGAAAATAATAAATCCTCCAAAACAGAAAAGACAAAAAGATACTAAAATGTATAGAGCAAGACGCTTCCAAATCTCTATGCAAATACAAGATAGCAACGCTTGAAGCAGCAATGAACAGCACTGTTTTAAAATCAGGGTTATTTTGGTAATACCAACTTGTTTTTCCATCTATATTTTACCTTCAACCAAACATAGATTTCATAAAAGTTACCTAATTTCCCCAGTAAAGTTTTTCCCCACCAAACAATTTTTTTTTACATTTTCCTACCTATCTCACTTTATCTCACTTTCCAACCATTTCCCCATCAATTACATTTTCCTAGTATTCAAAAAATTTCTCCTAAACCAAACGCCCCCTAAGAGCGTAACTATTTCATAGGCATCCAGCTACGTGTATCATTTGTGCATAGGTTGTTGGCTACCGGTAGGGAATTCCACTTATAATTATAGGCAGCCAGGGATATAACAACTGGATAAATAATAAAGGTCTCTTTGCAAGGTGCATCACAAAACTATTTATCCCGTAATGAGAATATGACCCTTCGAAGTGAATCCTTCCCTTACTCCTTAGGCTTTGTTTGGGAGTTTGTAGGGGAAAGGAAGGAAGGGGATTCAAGGGAGAGGGACGGGAAGGAAAGGAAGGAAATTGAAGGATATTTCCTTCCCTTGTTTGGGAGTTAAAAAATGGTAAGGGAGAAAAATACAGCATTAATGAGATATTTTTTCCAATTTATCCTTTTTTTTTAAATTATTATAATTATAGTATTTTACAAATTAAATTAAATTTTAAATTTTATAACAAAATTTCTACGTTGCAAACAACGAAAATTACGTCACAAAATTATTTTTTCGTCGGAATACTTTCGTCGAAAAGCGACGAAATTTTTTCTCCGATGAATAAATTTTCTATCAAAATTTTTGACGAAATTCCGTCAAAAGTTTTAAAGAAAATGATTTCCTCCATCAAATGTTTTAAACGCAAAAAGAATGCCATCAAAAATTTTGACGGAATATTTTTCGTTCAAAATTTCAATGGAAATGTATTCTGTCGAAAATTTCAACGGAAATTTTGTTGTCAAAAATTTTGAGGAAAATGTTTCATTCGAAACATTCGACGAAATTTAGATTCTGTAAAGAATTTTGACAGAATATTTTTTCCGTCAAAAATTTTTATCAAAATATTTTTCGTCAAAATTTTTTATGAAAAATATCTTTTTGTCGAAATTTTTTGACAAAAATGAGTTCCGTTGAAAATTTTGATGGAAATGTTTTTTATAAAAAAACTTGACGGAAATATTTTTCGTCGCAAATTTTCGATAAAAATTTCGACGGAAATTTTTTTTGTCAAAAAGTTTAACGAAAATGAGTTTCGACGGAATTTTAATTTTGTAAAGAATTTTGAAGAAATTTTTTTCCGTCAAAAATTTTCGATGGAAATGTGTTTCGCTGAAAATTTTGATGGAAATATTTTTCGTCAAAAATTTCGATGAATTTGTTTTTTTGTGAAATATTTTGAGGGAAATGTTTTGACAAAATTTAGATTCCGTAAAAAAAATTGACAAAAAATTTTCTGTCAAAATTTTTACAGAAATATTTTTAGTCACAAATTTTGATGGAAATATTTTTCATCAAAAAATTTTGCGAAAAAGTTTGATGAAAATGTTTTTTGTAAAAAAATTTGACGTAATTGTTTTACATCGAAACTTTTCGATGGAAATGTGTTTCGTCAAAATTTTGGACGGAAATATTTTCGTTGAAAGTTTTGACGGAATTATAGAATAATTTTGACTGAATTTTTTTTCCGTATAAAATTTATGTCAGTGATTATGGAAAAATCTTGTTTCGTCTTTAGTTTTGACGGGAATTTTTTGACATATATGATTTTCATCAAAAAATTTATTGCTGTTTTTGACGAAATATTTTTCGTCTATAAATTATGTCGGTATTTGAGACCTTTATAATAACAAAGCCTTGAATACTGAACTCTCCTAATTACAAAAATTAGGCCATGTTCCTTTAATATATATCTTACCAAAACCAAGTAATTCTTTGTTTAGTCTTTTTAGTAGTTTAGTATCATGTTTAAAGAATGTATCATCATACATAATTTTTTTTACCACTTCTTCTTGTAAGATGGAAGGTTGATAAGTAGGAGTTAAAATATTATTTCACCACCGACTCATGATATGATAACAATGGAGATCTCGGCTATTGGTGAACCATCCGCTGAGGAGGTTGATCTCTTGAAGTGTAGTACTGTCAAAGCTAAAGAAGTGTTAGGGAAGAAACCGATATCTTATAAGGATACACTCTTACAGTTGAATGGGCTGAAAGTTACGGATGATGTCGAGGAAAAGGATTGGTTTGAGGAGTTGGATGTTCATGGTATGGAGGAGGATGTTCAATCAAATGACCAAGATGATCCTTTCTGTCCTACATACAGATTTTCAAAAGAGCTATATAATGAGAGTTGCAGGCCTTGGAAGCAAGCTGTGATTATCAAGCTCTTGGGAAAAAGGTTGGTGTAAAGTTTCTGCTGAACAGACTCTTGAAGATGTGGAATCTGTCGGGGACACATGAGTTCATTGATATGGAGAACGATTACTTTTTGTTTCGTTTTGCGGATTTAAATGACTACAACTTTATTTTGGAGGAAGGGCCTTGGATTGTGGCAGACCATTATGTTTCTGTTCAACGGTGGCGGCCATTATTTGATCCTTACGAGGACAACCTTAAAAAATTAGATGTTCGGATCCGTATTTCGGGGTTACCTATGGAGTTCTATACCTCCCAACATTTGCGGAACATAGGTGATCTATTTGGGAAAACACTGAAGATTGATAGGAACTCTATACGTAAAAGTGATGCTGGTGATGGGGTTGTTACGGAAAGGGCCAAGTTTGCGCGTATTTGCGTAGAAGTAGATCTCAGTAAAGGCTTCTTGTCTAAATTCAATCTCATCAATAAGGTTTATACGGTAGGGTACGAAGGCCTTCACATGATCTGCTTTGCATGTGGTAAGTATGGGCATAGGCGTGACACTTGTTCTTGGGTTTCGGTGTCAACCGATAGTCATTCTCACCAAAAGGATGTCCGTGCAGAGGTTGTTAACAATGGTGTCAGGCGTGAGATGGCAGAAGGTGAAGCTTTTGGTTCTTGGATGATTGTCCAAAGGAGTCAACGGGGAAGGAAGGCAAAAGCTACCATGGAGACAGCCGCAATCAATGCTACCGCAATCAATGCAGCCGGGAATCAGGGGTCATCTGTTACAACTGGCCAAAGGAGAATTAATGCTCAAGGAATAAATCATTATGTTTCACGTCCAGCTTAAATCAAGCAGCAGAAACCCGATAATCATGTGGGAATTAAATCGGCTACAATGATTAATGCAAAAAATAACGGTTCTGGAGCTTCAAAGTTGGCGTCTTCAACGGCTGGATCAAGATTTTCAGTTATTTCTAACGAAGTTAATGCTAATCATGATGTTAATTACGAGAATATTCAAATCATTAATGATAAGCATGGCCCCTCTAAGGTAACCGCTAGTGCTGATTTGAAAAAGGGTTTAAATAATAAGATTTCAAATTTTCCTCGTGATAAACGTCATCTTTCAGCAGCTATTCTCCCTAGTTCAAATACAGTTACAAATTTGGTGGGACCCTCTATGCCAAATCAAAATCTAAGTGGCCCTGAGCTTATGCCAGTTGTTCAAAAAGGTACTGTTATTCCTCAGGTAGAAGAAAGGATTTTGTCTCGGCCACAAGAGGCTACCGTTTCCAAGTCTTCTACTTTGTCGCAAAATGGAAAAAAAAGAAAGAGTTACGTGATGAAATTAACAGGAATAAAAAGGCAGTTGCCTTATCTATTGTCCCAAAGAGTTTTAAGCAAAGGGATAAGCCGTTCATTGCTTCAAGTTCGGCGAAAAAAATTTCAGCAATGGACATTAATGGCAGAAAGTCTCTTTGTTCTCTCTTCTACATCATCTCCTCCACATGTGGTAACTCCCTCGGATTCCGGTAAAGAGGAGGATGGGGTTGATATTTCCATAATAACGCATGACAACAAGAGTCCGGTTACTCTTTCCAGCTCGAAGGATGTTGAGGCTTTGAATGCTAGTTTGAGACCTGCTGATGTACCCTCGGTGATGGGGGATAGTTTTGATCTCCCCAAAGTCTAATGACAGGGTATTTTCATCCTTTCTCATTATTTTTGTGGTTTTTTGATGAGTGTGTGTGTTTGGAATTGCAGGGGGCTGGAAAAAAAAGGTTTTTCTCCCCTTATTAGGGACTTGTCTCGTCATTTTAATATTCAAGTTATGGCTTTGCTTGAAACTCGTATCGGAGCTGACCGTGCTCAGAAGGTGGTGAAAGGCTTTGGCTTTCAAAAGCATGTTATGGCTCATCCTCAAGGTTTTTCTGGTGGTCTGTGGGTGTTATGGAATGATGATGAAGCTCAAATTCAGATTTTAGAGTCTCATCGTCAGTTTATCCATTTAAAAATTTGTTGGCGTAATAGGAGGAAGGAGGAAGTTGTTACTTTTGTTTATGCCAGTCCACGGCGTCTTGAGAGAGTGTCTTTGTGGGATGCTCTAGGAAGGTTACAACAACAAACCTCGGAGGCTTGGTGCATTTTGGGAGATTTCAATTCTTATTTGCATGCAGCAGAAAAGGAGGGAGGTGGCCCGCCAGATTGGAGGAGTATTTATGATTTCCAAAATTGTATTATGAACTGCAATCTGGAAGACTTGGGTCATTAGGGGCCTGCTTTCACTTGGCATAGAGGCAGATTGAAGGAACGTCTTGATAGAGTTTGTGCGAATGAGCAGTGGCAATTGTCCTTTCCTGACAGGGTTGTGACTCATCTTTCCTGACAGGGTTGTGACTCATCTTCTCTGCTACTGCTCGGATCATAGACCTCTTCTTCTCTGGGAGGGTCCTTCTCCTCACCATCCTGGAGGGAGCCGTCCATTTAGATTTCTGGCAGCCTGGCTCACTCATGAGGATTTCCCTGGCCTAGTGCAGGAGTGTTGGAATGGGAGTACAGGTTGGGGCCCAGCTAGTGAAACTTTTCGATCGAATGCTTCTCACTGGCATAGGGAGTGCTTTAGGGAAGATGCCAAGCTTAAGAATAATCTTCAGGCTAGACTAAGGGGTATTGACCGTAGTCTTAGTCACCATCCTTGCCATGCTCTAGAAATTCTGCAGAAAGATCTTTGGCGTCAGTTGAATCTCATTTATATTCGGGAGGATCTTACTTGGTTTCAGCGGTCTAGGGCTAGCTGGTTGAAATATGGTGACCGGAATACGAAATTCTTCCATTCTACTACAGTTGCTAGGAGGAGGAGAAATCGTATTGATGCTCTGAAAAATGATGCGGGTGATTGGATTGGTGATCCCTCTATTCTGATGAATATGGCGGTTGAGTATTATCGTAATTTGTTTAAAGAGGATAATACTGCTAGACCTGGGCTTCCAATTAGAGGCTATTTTCCTCACCTTGTGCAAGAGTACAACATTCATATTGGTAGCATTCCTTCGAATGAGGAGATTAGGAGTACAGTTTTTTCCATGGGACCTCACAAAGCTCCAGGGGTGGACGGTCTTCATAGTCTATTTTTCCAATCTCAATGGGATACTGTAGGAAGCTCTGTTTGTGATCTGGTGAAAGATGTGTTTACTAATCCCCAAAAAATTCGGGATATTAATCAAACTCTTATTTTCCTGATCCCGAAGATAACTTCACCTCAATCCCTTAAAGATTTCCGGCCCATTAGCCTTTGTAATGTTATTTATAAGACTATTACTAAGCTTATTGCTAACTGTTTGAAATTGCAGATGGATAAAATTGTTATGCCTAACCAGTGTAGTTTCATCAAAGGAAGGCAAGGGACAGATAATGTAATTATTGCTCAGGAAATTATTCACTCTATGAGGTCAAAGAAAGGCGCCAAAGGTTGGATGATGATTAAGGTGGATTTGGAGAAAGCTTATGACAGAATTAGCTGGGACTTTCTCCGAGATACTCTTTAGGATGTGGGACTCCCCCCAAATCTCATTAATCTTGTTATGTGGTGTGTTTCTTCTTGTTCGATGAATGTTCTTTGGAATGGTACTACAACTCAGGAGTTTTTCCCATCCAGGGGGCTTAGACAGGGTGACCCTTTGTCCCCATATTTATTTATTCTTTGTATGGAGTGACTTGGTCATCTTATTTCCCATGCAGTTAGGCAAAAGTGCTGGAAGCTGATCATGTTGAGGAGGAATGCTCCTCCCATTTCTCACCTCTTTTTTGCGGATGATCTTATTCTTTGTGCGGATCCATCCTTTGTTCAGGCCCAAACCATTTCCAAGGTGCTAGATGATTTTTGTCTTTCTTCTGGTCAAAAGGTAAACCATGAAAAAACAAAAATTCTCTTCTCCCATAATGTGAATCATGTTTTGGCAGAGGAACTTAGTGGTGAGTTGGGCTTCTCAAGGACGGTGGATCTTGGAAAGTATTTGGGTATTCCTCTTCATCATCGCAGAGTTGGGAGGGCGACTTTCAGTCATATCCTCGATCGAGTTCAATCTAGGATTAATGCCTGGAACCACACCAGTCTTTCTCTAGCAGGAAGAATTACACTTTCGAAAGCTGTTCTCTCAGCTATTCCAGCCTACACAATGCAAGTTTCTGTTGTTTCTCTCGGAATCTGCAATGATATTGAGAAACATATTAGGAGGTTTTTGTGGGGTTCTAATAGAGCATCTACTCGTCCTCATCTGGTTGCGTGGGATCAGTTGTGCATGGATAAAGATCATGGAGGGCTGGGTCTGAGGAAAATGAAGGAAGTTAACAGGGCTTTTATTATGAAAATTGGTTATGGGATCCTTTCTAATCCAGACGCGCTTTAGGCTAGAGTTTTAAAGAGCAAGTATAAAGTTCAGTCTGATTTGGTTTCTAATATTTCTGCTACTCGGAATAGCTCTTCTCTTTGGAAAGCAATTGTCTCGTCTTGGCCTGTGATATTACAGCATTCCAGAATTTTGCTAGGTAATGGAAATTCTACTCATTTTTGGGATGACCCGTGGGTTCCGGGTTGTGGTGCGCTCTCATCCTATGCTGCTATTTCTGATCCCTCTCAGATAAATCATCAGCTAATGGTCTCTGATCTTGTCTCATCCTCCGGAAGTTGGATGTGGGGGGCTTTCCAGTAGAGTCTGCCCGATCACGTCAATGCTCGTATTAATAACATCCTTCCTCCTTCAGATGTTAATGGTCATGACCGGATTTTGTGGACAAGGACATCTTATGGGAGTTTTTCGCTGAAGTCCGCTTATATGGCCATATCCAGGGGTGACGAGGAATCTACCAATTTACCTTGGAATCGCGTTTGGCAGTGGCATGGACCTGAACGGATTCGTACGTTCCTTTGGCTGTTGTTAGGAGATAAAATTTTGACAAATGAAAGGCGTTGCAGACGACACATGGCGGGTTTAGATATATGTCATCTGTGCAATTGTTTTACGGAAACTTCCTTACATGCGGTTAGAGATTGTATTGCAGCAAAAAAAGTGTGGGAGATTGCAGTTAAGCGAGAGGCTTGGGAGGATTTTTTCTCTCTTAATCTTCAGCAATGGGTGTTGTCCAATATCTCTGAGGATCGTAATTGGTCCAATTTGCCATCATGGCCTCTTCTGTTTTGGTATCATTTCCTGTTTCATTTGGCAAGCTATGAATAAGAAAATTTTTCAGGGATCTTCTGTTCCTGCTTATGGCACTTTTTGAGCTGCTATGGTCTATGGTGAAGATTTTTCTTGGTCAGAAAACACGCTTCGGGTTGCTGGTCTTGAGACTAACTCGAATAAAGAGAAATTAGTTTCTTGGGTTTTTCCTTCGGACCCTTGGGTTAAGCTCAATGTGGATGGGTCAAGTATGAATAATGGAGAAGCTTCTGCTTGTGGGGGTGTATTCAGAAATGCTAGTGGAAGGTGGCTTGTTGGCTTTTGTAAAAATCTTGGCTGTGGTAATGTTTTGTTAGCAGAACTTTGGAGTTGTCTCCTTGGGCTTGAGATAGCTTGGAGGAAAGGTTTCCGTTTTGTCTGGCTTGAAGGTGATTCCTTAGTAGCCCAGTATTTCATAAGAGAAGGGTGCAGCTCTCATCATCCAGCCTCTAACTTGGTCTTGCGCATAAGGAATATGCTGGATTGGAATTAGAGGGTTAGAATTTCCCATATTCATAGGGAAGGGAATGGGGTTGCCGATTGGATGGCCTCTTTTGCCTACTCCTTTGATTGGTCTTTACAAGAGTTTGACTCGCCTCCTTCTGGTTGTCGTGACAAACTTGAAAGGGACTATGTAGGAGTAGTTTGGTCTAGGAGGTGTTCCTAATTTCTGTTTTTTTTGTTTTTCTGTTTCCTGTTTGCTTTTCAAAAAAAGAATGCATCATCATTGATTTCCCAAAGATAATTTCGGTTTTTACACCTGCACAACAGTTTTTCATATCCTCATAACAACAATGCAAGAAAAATGCCATTTCATGTTCCTAATACTTGACAAACACTGAGAATTTGCTTTTAGTTAAAATTCTTCTATACTACAATGGTCCTCAAGTAAGACATTCCCCCCCCCCCCCCCCCCCCCCCCCCCCCCCCCCTCAATCTATCTGTGTGTGTACATATATATCTTTGGATTATTTCAGACTATAACAGCAGCAACCTTCTCAACTGTTTCTTTTATCAATTTATCTAATCAAAGGTTCATACTAAATTGGAGGAAGATCAATTTAGTCACGGTTGAAAGGTATGATTATGTAGAATATATTATGAGGATATTGCTGAAAAGCGAAGTGTAATTAAGGTGTCTTCATCCACTTCAATATAATGGTCCTCTGCAAAATAATGGGGGAAGAGAAGGCAAACCAATTAGCAATCAATTGAGTCTTTTAACTAAAAGATACATATGAAGTAGTGCATGTCAGTTAGAAGTGAATTAAGTGAGAACTATATAAGTACAAAAGATATATAGACCTACATGGTTTAATTTTTATGATTAATTTGATAATATTGTATCAAATTATATAATTTTTAATTTGAGGTTAAATTTATTTTTATTGAATAAAAATATAAAATTAAACAATGTTATAATAATATCTTTAAATTTAATTAATTATAACAAAAATTAAATTTTCTCATATAAAATATAATTAAAAAATATTTTAATATAAAACAAATTAATTTAAATATGAACTAAATCAACAAGAAGACATGCACTACTTTTTTTTTGTTTGGTAGCAAGACATGCGCTACTTTTTTTTTTTTGGTAAACCAAGAAATGCACTATTTTTTTTGTTTGGTAGCAAGACATGACCTTTTTTTTGTAATTTCAGGGACTAATTTGGTCCTTTTTTATTGTTAGGGACTAAAAAGGACTTCGTAGATATTGACAGGGACTAAAAAGGGTGTTTACTCTTTTTTTTTTGGTACATTGCCAGGAGGTATCCCCATTCAACCTTCTCCGGACACCATGCCCTCGGGGTACGGCCCGTTTGGGCTAGCCCCTCATTGTAACAGTCGGTGCACTAAGCTTCGCAATCGGAGAAAAGACGAGACTACCCCAAAATTTTTCCAAGAAACTAGCAATCCCTTAGAAGCTCAGCTGCCAACTGAGCTAACCTTGGGGCACTACTTAACTAGTTGCTAAGTTACACATTATTGGTTTATCGTCGAGTTATTTTAATGGCTTAAAAAAAGTAAAGGATAAAACAGGCCATTTGAATTATCTTCACAGTTGCTAAGTTACACATTATTGGTTTATCGTCGAGTTATTTTAATGGCTTAAAAAAAGTAAAGGACAGGCCATTTGAATTATCTTCCCAGACGCCAGAGTCTATAGTTGAGTGATTTTAGGATAAAATGCATTTTACTTTCATGGTCCTTCATAAATTCCGTGACATTACTGTTTTAAAATCATTTTTTTTTCTTTCACTTAACTATGTGATGTTTGATTTCTTCTTCTATCACCTAACTCTTCAAAGTTTGGTTTTAAATATTCAAAGATTAATTTTTAATTAAAACAATCTTTTCATTCAAAACAAAATAATAAATAGACACTTCAAAAGAGTAAGCTTCGTTATCCTAGATTTTATAATCCATGATGCAGATACAGATATGTGGTCCTACAAGGGAAGATCCATCATGAGCCCGCAATATAATAGTTTGCTATTGCTTACCCCCCACAAAAACAAAAACCACTGGCATCACTTGCCCCTGGTTTTTCAAAAATTTTGGCATTTAGTTACCTCTACCAACTATAGAATATTGAGCTTACCTTTATATAAGTAACCCCTTCTCTTCATTTTGCTTCATCAAACCTCCAAAATCTGCCAATTTTCTTTAACAATTACGTTACAATACAATCAACTCCAGTTATTTTCTATCATCAAGAAAAGCAAAGAGAGTATTGATCAGAGAAGCATTTAAGAGATGAATTCAGCACGAAAAGCTTGGATTGTGGCAGCTAGTGTTGGAGTTGTAGAGGCCTTGAAGGACCAGGGTGTCTGCAGGTGGAATAATGCTTTGAAGTCAGCTCAACAACATGTGAAAAGCCATGTTGGATCGTTGTCATTGTCAAATAAGCTTTCCTCTTCTGCTATGGTTTCTACTACTTGTAGCAGACTAAAGGGTGAGAAGGTCAAGCAGTCAGAGGAGTCCTTAAGGACTGTTATGTACTTAAGCTGCTGGGGTCCCAATTAGAGAACAAGGGAAATAGGGATAGAATTTTTGTTCTTTGAAGCTTGGCCAACAAAAACTGAGGGCTGAGATTTCTATTGCCTTATTGGATTGTGTGACAAACTAATGTAATAATTAAAAATGATAGTTGAAACTTGCAACTTGCAAAATCAGTTTTTCTCAAGTTGGAAAAACTTTCATACATATTTGGTTTGTACTAGTTCATCAACATTCACACTTTCATATGTGGATCGTTCCAACATATATGCTTTCCCACTCCCATGCTTACAATGCAAAATTAAGAAGCAAACTGAAGAATGCAAAATTACAAACTGCTTATATTTATAGAGAAGTAGATGAAGAGAGGTTAAGAAAATACTTCACGTTCTCAATAAGCTGAGTTTGGTCAAAATAGGATTTTGAATCAATTTCAAATTTGTTTATCCAGTGAAAAAATATCAAGAATGATGATCATTGATCAAAGTTACAAGAAAGCAATACGACCAAGTAAAAGCAATTCAAACCTTACAAATTTGATTTATCAAGAATTTCACTACCATGTAAAATTAAAAGAGGATAAAAATTTGGTTTGTGGATGCAAGATATATGGATGATGCATGTGATTGTAAAATATCAAAATGTGCCTTGTTGGGCCATCACAAACGAGGAAACTTAATGTTAAGGTCTTTCTCCCTATTACCTATTGTGTGCTCTTGATAGCCTTTGTAATGGAAGCGTAGACAACACATAAAGTCAAAAACCCCATACTGAATACGCTAGAAAGGAGACTTAGCCAGAAATCCTTAACTAAAAGAGTATATATCCGCTAGGTTCATCCATCGTGGAAACTAAAGTGACATCAAAACCTATATTATTGTCCAACTAGATCTAATTTAATTAGATGCCATAAGCCCAAAACACAATATCATCACAATGGACTTAATCAAATAATTAACAGAATATGTTAGAAAAATTGTAAGAGTGGAATCATTGATTTGGTTTGACAACAATAATTTGGATCCTTATATTTTTCCTTGAGTTCATTGGTTTAGGTTAAAAACAGAGGCTTAAAGCATCGTACGAAAGCATTGAATTTGTTCACACTATTACCACAACATAGCTTTTACCCATTCATGATTTTGACATTAGTGACTATTGATCCATAAAAATTAGAAACACAAAATCAGAATTGCAGCGCTTGCAGTTAATTTTCCAATTACATAGGGTCCAGTTCGAGATTTCAATAGTTGATTGATTTTATGTAATAAGATGCAAACCATGTGCGTGCGTTGTTGTCCTCAGACGAAGCCAGAGCAAATTTGCTCTTAGCAATAGCTACGAAACTAGGTGGCACTGGCACATACGTGAAGTGACACAGACACGTGGTCCTACAAAGGAGGATTCATCATTAGCCCACAATATCAATAATCAACTAGTTTCCTTAACCCCACCAAAAACCACTGGTTTTCCCTGCCACTGGTTTTTCCAAAAATTTGGTATCTACTTACCTTGGAATCTTAAGCTTCCCTGTATATAAGCAACGCCTTCTCTCCATTTGCTTCATCAAACATCTAAATCAACTAGTGTTCTTCCGGCTATCACGTTACATTACTATCAACTTTCAGTTATTTTCTGTCATCCAAAAGAAAATCTAACAATAGTTTTGATCTTAAGAAACACTGCAAGATGAGTTCAGCACACAGAGCTTGGATTGTGGCAGCTAGTGTTGGAATTGTTGAGGCCTTGAAGGACCAGGGCGTATGCAGGTGGAACTACGCTTTAAGGTCTGCACAAAAACATGTGAAAAACCATGTTGGATCGTTGTCACAGACAAAGAAGCTTTCCTCTTCTGCTATGGTTTCTAGTTGTAGCAGACTAAAGGGTGAGAAGGTGAAGCAGTCAGAGGAGTCCTTAAGAACTGTTATGTATTTAAGTTGCTGGGGTCCTAACTAGAACATTAAGGGTCGTAAGTAGAGAGAAACATTTTGATTTTTTTTTTTTTTAAGCTAGGCTACGAAACATAAACAGGGCCTCAGATTTATGCCATTTTGGCTTTGTATTTTTGTATAGTAAACGAAGTATTGTTATGTTTGTCTTTTGTAACCGATTTGAATATCTTAAAAAAAAACAAAACTAGCTAGTATGAAAATTAACCAGTTAATGGCCAATTAAAGTTTCATTTTTCTGAATTAGAATTTGACCTGGTGTCGTTATAAAGTTTTTTACGATAGAACTTAATAATGTATTAATTTATCGTTAAAAAATAAAAGTTAGCAAACACCCCTGAAGATAACAACACCCTTAAAAATGTTTTTACATAAATAGTTGTGATGCTCAAACTAACACATAATTACACGAAAATATTAACAAATCCTGTCATCTATTCAATTGCTGATTATGTATCATATAATATTGCTGAGGCCTAGTAATTTTATGCGGCGATTCTATCCTTTTAGCCTCATAACATATAATATCAAATTATCAATGGATACAACCGCGTGCGCCTTGTCTTGAAATAAAACATGACTTGTAGCAAACCAGGAAAATGACGCTTGGGTGACAAAGACACGTGGTTCTAATACTAATGACTGAACATGTATTAGGTTAACTTTATTCAATAGCGAAACCCATTGGTTTACCTATCCGGCTATCCAAAACCACTAGCTATCATATTCAACCCTGCCATTGGTTTTAACCAATATTTGGCCGCTTCTTTGGCTTACTAGTTTGGTCATCTCATACATTTCTTACATCAATAGTAGAAGTGTCTGTTTCTATGGTTTACTTGATTACATCCCTTACTCTTAGGAATGATACGAGGAGCCCAAAACTTTTTTCAAAGAATACCTCCACCACAAGGTCAAATGACACAAACCACAATAAGTGGCCTAATATCATATTTCAACTTAAAACATTGAGGTTGTAGGTGGCCTTACCGTTCTCCGCCCAAAGATCCTATTTCATACATCAATAATAGAAGTTTCTGCTTGTATAGTTTACTTGATTACATCCCTTACTCTTAAGAATGGTACTCATATTTTACTTAACTCAAAACCTTAAGGTTATAGGTCTATATATTTTTTGTATTTATATAGTTCTCACTTGATTCACTTCTAACTGACGTAGAATTTCACCATCATTCACGCTTAAATATTTCAAACTTAAGTGCTCAATTGATTTACTTTACTTAACTATACCCCTTGCGTGTAAGAAATCAAAAGAAAGTAACGATGGCAATAAAAACAGAGATGAAACTGTACTTTGCCACATTTAATTGAATCACAAATAAAGCCTTTAAATAGGCATTTTACATAACTGAAAAAAAAAACCAACTCCCACTAATTAAGAGTGGAACTAACGTGCAGATATTGGAAGAGAAAAATTAGGAATGCATAAAATATCTTAACTAATTCACTGGTGGCAGTTTTCCGAAATTATAGCTGTATTTTGGATCATTTCTCAACACTCCCCTTTGATCCAAAATCACATACACCAAGTAAATTCCTCAATTGCTCATGTCTGCCTCTCGCAAGTGGTTTTGTGAGGATATCAGCAATTTGTTCTTCAGTGCTGCAATATTGAAGACTTATCTTTCCTTCAACAACCAAGTCTCTGATAAAATATGCCCTTATGTCAATGTGCTTGGTCCTACCGTGAAACACATGATTTTGTGTCATGGCTATTGTGGATTTGTTATCACAATATACTTTTGTTACTTCCTTTTGTTCCTGTCCAAGATCCTCCAATATTCTTTTTAGCCAAATTGCTTGGCATGCTGTTGCAGTTGCTGCCATAAACTCAGCTTCTGAAGATGATAGTGCAACAGTGGCCTATTTTTTTGAAGTCCATGAAACTGCACCAGATCCAAGGTTGAATACATACCCTGTAGTGCTTCTACGATCTTCCATGCATCTTGCCCAATCACTATCAGTGTATCCAATAAGGCTACATTGCTTCACCTGCTCATACCATATTCCGAAATCCAGAGTTCCTGCTACATATCGAAGAATTCGTTTTGCAGCTCCATAATGATGCTTTGAGGGAGTGTGCATGAACCTGGATATTACTCCAACCGAATAAGAGATGTCAGGCCTAGTATGAGTTAAATAAATGAGACCACCTACCAAACTTCTGTATTGCTGTATGTTGGCTTCTTCAGTACCATCATCCAAGAGCAATTTTTCATTCGTATTCATTGGTGTGGCAGCTGTTTTGCAACCAGTCAATGAAATCTTTTTAATAGATCAGTTGCATACTTCTTTTGTGAGACAAAGATGCCATTCTTCACTTGCTTCACTTCTATTCCAAGAAAGTAATGCAGTAAACCCAAATCTGACATTTCAAACCTCTTCTTCATATTTTCTTGGAATTGTCCAACAATGAGAGTTGATGAGCCCGTGTAAATCATATCATCTACATAAAGACTAACAAACAGGATCTCTTTACCTTCCCTTTTAATATAAAGTGTGGGCTCACTTTTGCTTCTATTAAAGCCATTCTCAAAGAAGTAAGAATTAATTTTTTCATACCATGCTCTTGGGGCCTGTTTCAACCCATAAAGAGCTTTCTTTAGCCTGTACACTTTATCTTCTTCATTTTGAACAACAAATCCTATAGGTTGCATTATATAGACTTCTTCTCCTAGCTCACCATTAAGAAAGGCTGATTTGACATCAAACTGATACACACTCCAATTTAATTATGCAGCAAGTGCCAAGAGAGTTCTTACCGTTTCAAAGCGTGCAACGGGAGAGAAAGTATCTTCATAATCAACTCTATGTTGTTGAGCATAACTCTTTGCCACCAACCTTGCTTTGTGTTTCTGTATACTTCCATCTGCATTGTACTTTGTTCTAAACACCCACTTGACTCCAATTGCCTTCTCGCCCTTAGGTAAATCAACCAGCTCCCAAGTTTCATTCCTTTCTATTGCTTCTAATTCTTCTTCCATGGCCTTCTTCCATTCTGTTTTTGTGATTGCTTCCTCAAAGCAATATGGATCAGCTACAAACAAAGCTTGTGATGCTTCATAAATATCTCTCAAAGATCTATAACCTTGTGGCCCTACTTCTTCAAACGAATCTGTAGTCATTCCATTACTTGATGAAGACATTGTTGGTGTAGAGATGTTGGAGCTCCCTGGGGTGTTGGGTGGAGTTTGAAGTAAATTATCACCACTGTCTTGCTCTTCTTCAGCATTGGATTGCTCTTCTTCTATGGCCAATTCTTCAAGATGAATGCCTCCCTTATTATCTTCTCTCCATGTCCATCCTCCTTCCTCATTGAATATCACATTTCTACTAATAATGATCTTTCCATTCAAGGGATTATAAAGTTGGTAAGCTTTAGAGCTAGTTGAATAACCAACAAAGACACATTTTATGGCTTTTGCATCAAGTTTGCTGCGGATTTGTGAGTCAATTAAAGTATAAGCAATGCATACAAAGACTTTTAAGTGGCTTACCCCTGGTTTTCTACCAGTCCACACTTCATAAGGAGTTTGATTTGGAACGGCTTTTGTTGGTGAAATTTTCTGGAGATATACAGCCGTGGCAATAGCTTCTCCCCAAAAAATTTTGGGCAGCCCCTTCTCTTGAATCATACTTCGTGCCATCTCCACCACAGTTCGATTTTTTCGCTCGGCCACACCATTTTGTTCTGGAGTGTAAGGAGCTGTGAGCTCTCGGTGAATACCATGATCTTCACAAAAGGAGTTAAATGCTTTTGAATTGAACTCTCCGCCTCGATCAGTTCTTAATACCTTGATATGCTGGCCACTTTGCTTCTCAACTTGAAGTTTAAATTTCTTGAAAGCTTCGAATGCCTCAGCTTTGCTTTGCAGAAAATAGACCCAACTCATTCGACTGTGATCATCAGTTAAAAGCATGAAAAAATGACTTCCTCCAAGTGTCTCCGTCTTCATTGGTCCACACAAGTCTGCATGGATTAATTCTAGATTGGTTGATGCCCTCCACGCCTTCTCTGTAGGAAAGGGCTTCTTACTTTGTTTTCCATAAATGCATGCTTCACGTACCTCCAAATTTCAAGCTTGGGAATTCCTCTTACCATTTCTTTTTGCTGCAGCAGCTTTAAACTTTTGAAGTTAAGATGCCCATATCTCCTATGCCAAAGCTTTGTCTATGCATCTTCTTTTGCTATCATCACACAACTTTCCAAGTTAGAAAAGTCCACCGGAAATAGTTTGTTCTTTGTCATGCTTGTTTTCATCACTTCTTGACCTGTCTCCTTGCTTTTAATTAGACATGAAGAATCATCAAATACCACAGTATATCCACTAGTGATCAACTGTCCAACACTTAACAGGCTTTGAGACAAACTGGAACGAAGAATACATTGCACAAGTAATTAATTTTACCATTGTTGTTTCGTAATGCAACTATTCCCTGTCCTTCAATTTGAATACATTTGCTGTCACCAAGTCTGACTTCTTTCTTATAGCTTTCATCCAGCTCTTCAAATAAGGTTTTGATGCATGTCATGTGATTCGAGCATCCACTGTCTACGAACCAAATATTCTGCTTGTCTGAGTCATCTTCCATCATTGCCATGAACAACCTGTAATCTTCTTCTTCTTCTCCATTTTCAACTTCCTCTGCATAATTTGCTTGATTTGGTTTTGACCAACACTTTGCTTGAATATGCCCATAACGCTTACAGTTAAAACATTGAATACCTTGGCTTCCACCTCTTCCACGTCCTCGGCCTGCAGTCCTTCCTCCTCTCCAAGATGTTTCACCATCACGCTTGAACTTTTCTACTGTTGAAGGCTCCCCCTTTATGTGAAATGTCTTCTCCTCTTCTTGTTCATTTGGTCGTTTGATTCTTGCTACATGGGCTTGTAGAGAACCCATCAACTCATCAAAGGTGAAAGTTGTCAGGTCCTTTGATTCTTCAATAGCTGCTACAACATGATCATATTGAGGTGTTAAACTCCTTAACACCTTAGCCACAACAGTTTGATCATTACATTGTTCACCATAAATTCGCATTTGACT